CGGCTGCCTGTACTCCCTGTCCGCCCCCAAGAGAGAAGCCACTTACACTGGACACTTACATCAATGACTCCATGTCAGCAGGTATCAGCTGGTGGAGGATTCTTCTTCGTCACCAAGAAGGACAGGGAAATCATTTTCACTAAGCTGGACCTGCACAATGCTTACCACCTGATCCGCATCCGAGAGGGGGACGAGTGGAAGACGGCCTTCAACACACCCTCGGGGCATTACGAATACTAATAATAATTACAGGCTCTAGTTAACAACGTGCTCAGGGACATGTTAAATAAGCATGTTTTTGTCTACATTGACGACATCCTGATCTTCTCCAAGACAGAGAAGGAACATGTTCACCACGTCCAGGCGGTTCTTCAGCAACTCCTGGAGAACTCACTTTTTGGGCGAGAATTGTGAGTTCCACTCTCCCTCCATCTCCTGCCTGGGGTACGTCGTAGGGAGGGGGAACATTCAGATGGATCCCACCAAAGTATCCGCTGTTACCACCTGGCCTGCTCCTGACTCCCGCAAGCAGCTCCAACGAGTCGTCTGAGAGAAACTATGACATCGGCAACCGAGAACTCTTGGCTTGGTACCAAGCAACCGTTCCTGGTATAGAAAGACCACAAAAACCTTGAGTACATCCATTCAGCGAAAAGGTTGAACACCCAACAAGCCCGCTGGTCCCTGTTCCTCACACGGTTCAATCTCTCTCTCTCCTACTGTCTCGGTTCTCGCAACGTCAAACCTGACGCCCTGTCCCGTCAGTTTGTGCAACTACATTACTTTCACAATATGATGCATTTCACTTTTATCTCAAAGGCCAAGTACATAAGAAGCTTAATGTAACCAGCAAGAGATCAATAAAGAATAAGACTAAATTTAATATTCACTTGGATGTTATTAAAGTGTGCCACTTCTAACCTTTACATTATAATGACTTTTAATGAATGTCTTTCTCTCTCTCTCTACTTTAGCTCAAGTTAATTTTTAAAAAAAGAATACACACAGGCTGAACTAGAAATGTGTAGTTTTTGGAGAAACTAAATGTGATTGATTAAAGCTTTTTTTTTTTAAGCTTATATTATTTGACACACTGGGAAAGCAGAAGTGGCAATAGCAGAAATAACTGTAGGAAGACTAATAGTGTGACAAATACTTTGAGAAAAAAAGATTCATAAATTAATAAATATGTTCAACATGTATAAATGCAGACGTTAATTTCTTTACTTGATAAGGCCTGCTAACTCCTGTTGCCTTGGTTTTTACATTGTGAGTTAAACTACAGCTGAATTCACTTTTAAAGAAGGAGCAGCTGAAGAAGTATTGTCAAAAGGGAGGGAGTATGAGTAAAAGTGAAAAAGCAAGGAGACAAGAAAGGATCCGTTTCACTCAAAAATACTGAATACTTAAAATTATTAATATGTTTTGGCATCTGGGCCACAAGTTGTGAACGCATGCAATTTAAAGTTGATAAGGTGAACATGTTTGCAAACTGTTTTTATTTCCAGCAGTCCAGTTGTCCAATCTGCCCAATGTGATTCCAATATTCACTCTTTCAGCTCTGTTTTTGGTCTCTACCAATCATGAGAAAAATATATGGCTCTATAGCTGCTAAATGCTCCTTTGTTCACCCGTTTGTTGCCAACTGTGTCTGTTTGCCGTTTTGTGCTGAGCAGGTAGAATACAGTGCCACATATGTCCCTAGGCAGACCAAAAACAAAGCAAATAAAAAAAAATATTGGGCTTACATTTGCCAGATAACCAGAAACTTAAAACGCAACTGTTGCAACAAGCAACTGCTTGCTAACAAGTTCCACATATCAGTGTCAATGTTGTGTTTAGAACTAGTTTCCACTGTCTTTGAGTGGCCAAAAAATCAATTGTTGTAGGTTTACCGCCAAACAAGTTGAGTATTTTCTTATATATAAAAGTATGCAAATGAGAGTTTTTGTCTTAAATTATCTTAACATTTTCTATGCAGAAATAACTGCCAATAACCACACAACACAACTAACCTTTGTTAGTCAGCATCACTGGTAAAGGCTGCTCACTTCAAAGTGAGGCTGCTAGCTTTAATCCACCTATGTAGATAATTTAGAAATCTTAAGGGCACTGAAACAAAGGTGATACTCATTAAGTGCACCAGTACGTTAACATTTTCCCCACAGCCTCACTGCTTTGTAGGTATATAGGAAAGAGGGTAACATTCCAGCTAACTTCATTAAGTTTCATTTTCCATTTTATCTCTCCTGAAGTGGACCATTAAGTCGGTGCGCAAGGGTAACTGATCAGCCAATCTGCCTGTGATTTATGTGGCATGGAAACTGAGGACTTAACTGAGCCTCAGAACACATTGATTACTGACATGGTTAATTGGCTAAACCCACTGGTACATTGAGACAGGCTTATTGGAAATGTCAAATCAAGCGGCTCATTTGCATTCATGATGTATGGTGTCTATTCCAGCTTCTGCCCAGGCAGCACAAACTGACACACAGGAAGGGCCCAGGATCTCTGCCTTGAATTTGCAACTGACCATCTGGCCTTCCAGGACGTTGGCGTTGGTTCGAGCTATATTTTTCCCCCTAGTATCCACATGTTTGTACTTGATGCACTTAGCTGACGTTCTGAATAAAGGATGGGAGTTTGGATAACTCCTCAGAGTGAGACTCAATTCACCTGTGAAGTTTCAGTAAAGCTCCAGCTTTGAAAACACATGTAATTTGATTGAACAGGGTTGAGAAAAGGAAAATATCTTGATTTATTACTTTATTTCTTCTTGAGTATGTGTGTGTTCTGGAGATCAAAACAATGGCTGAGACAATTTCCCCCCTAGAAATACCTTAAGTGTAAGCAGATGAAAGATGAAAGCAGCATGAAATTGAATTTTTTATTTTTTATTTAAGCAGATGAGGTAAGAGAAATTACAAGAGAAAACGGGTGGTATGAATTTATAGTGTTTGAATAATGGGATCCTCTTGGTATACTGTGGGGCATGCTCAGGAATATGTTTTTAGAATAACCCAAGAAGACAAATCTAAAAAACCATACCGTACTTCTAATTCTACAGAAATTATTCTTGAGCATCAAAAGCAACTTGTAACTTCTTCAATAAATTTTTTTTAATTGGAAACACACACAAGGCAATATCATAAAAGCGGCCGCTCTTTTTAAAAAGAAAACTCCACTGCAATTAACGCTAGCAAGGGTCGGTATTTTATGTGGCTTAAGAGTTCTATGACATGAAAAATTTTACTGCTAAATGCATAAATGTTTTCACCTGGGGTCAACATCTTGATGCGTAGCATTACGTTTGTGTAAGAGCTCCGACTGCTACATGTTACTGTGTGTACTGTGAAGGCCTGGTTCCCAACTGGTTTGTTTTAAAATTCTTGTAACTTGTGTGTGTCCTAGAAATTACGTTTAAATACAACTAGGCTGCAACAGCTAATACGTTTTGAAGGAAATATAATATCATTCGGATTACATTGTCTGTGAACATAAATAGGAACTGTTAATAAACGTATGATGCAAGCCGCAAAAATACTGACAGTATTAGTAAAGTGTTTTTCATTTGTTTTTTGCTAAAATATCAAATCATGCAACACAACATCCGCCTGTAGTGACTTTCTCTGATTATGTTTAGACACTGGCAGCACTGGGTTAAAGTTAGTGAATGGCTGTGTTCAGAAAAAGTCCACAGTGGCTCAAATCACAAGACACATTATGTTTACCAATATATAACCAAAGCCACACTCTTTTCCTAACTTTAACCAAAGTGCTTTTGTTAACTAAACCAAACCACAGATTGGACTCAGGATGTGATGTTTGTGCATCAAACATCCACCCGACCACCTCCCTGCGCCTCCAGTGTGGTAAAATGTGAGCTTTGTTTGCTAAAGCAAACATTGCCTGTGAACATAATCCAGGCAGAGATTACGAGTTGACTCAAACTCAATATACACAGTAGGATATAAAAGGCGCAGCCGGTAGTTACATTTAATTTCATATTTATATCCAAGAGTCAGCTGTTAACAAAATATAAGAACAAACATCCATAACGTCATACAATGCAGTTATAACGCATTTCCATTTGTCTTCCCTCATGGTTTGACTAACAACAACAACGCTACAAATACCTGTACTGCTAGTATATTTAGAGTTTAACATAAAATTCACTTGTTCATCCCACTTTTACACAAAGTACTAATCCCGCCATCCAAACCAAGCGATCCAAAAGAAAAGTAACAACTCCCATCTCACCAGCTGTTATGTTGGAGTTCAATAAAAGGAGATGGTACTTCATGGGCTTTTCACCACAGCAGCAGACGAATATCTATGGTTCCCTCAATACTCTGTACATGACACACACCTATTATTCAATTTCCCTGACTCGCTGAATAGACTTGACTCACGCAGTAGGACTGAACTGAATAGTTGTTGAGATTATTTTTGTCAGACGTGGACAGACAGATCAACATTGCCATCCTTAGAGTTAAGCTGCTAGCGTGGCGTACAAAACATACAGAAAATCTTTCTTGATTGTCCCGCAGCCTGAATAGTGGGTTGAAAACAATCCATTACACACAGTATCTTGGATGCCTACGCAGAGTTTTATCAAACTTATGATGCAGCTCAAGTTTGAAAGCAACAGAGCTATGAGATGCATCAACTAAATCTATTGACATTTCACTGGTTGCTATGAGAGGAGTGCTGTGATGATTATATACTTGCAAGAACAATCTCACATTTTCAGAATCACACAGTAAGTGTTGATTTAACTTAAAGCTCAATATCCACTTACAACTGTTCACATTTTCCCCTTAAAATCTTCCCTGCGTTCTTCCTTTCTTATTCCTGGCATTTGTGTCTTTTCAGCTTGCTTCTCCTTTCTTTATCCTTAATTTTCTGTCTCATCTCATAACCTTACACCTCAACTGCCAACTGAAATACCCTTATCTTTTCTGCTCTCTGTTGTGCTCTGATTTTCTGTCTTACAGCTCTGTTAGAGGTTATTCTGGCTGGCAGAGACTGCTTGGTGGCTGGAGACTCGTGCTCAAGTGATGAGACCTGCAGTCCACGTCTGCGGACTTTGCGTCAGTGTGTGGCGGGCAATGGCAGCGTGAAGCTGGGCCCCGGCGCCAGGAGCCAGTGTGCCAACGCAGTGTCCGCCCTACTGTCCAGCCCCTTACATGGCTGCCAGTGTAAACGGGGCATGAAGAAGGAGAAGAACTGCCTGAGCATATACTGGAGTCTTCATCAGTCCATCATACATGGTCAGTGCTTACTGGATAACAGCTGTCTATACTGCTAAAAGACAGTTTAAAAAGCAGAAATGTTGTATGTTTATTTACATACAGTAGCTGAAGAACGACATTGCAGTGCATTCCAAATAATACAAATAAATAACAAGCATTTATCTGTGTATAGATTAGGATTTAGATGATTGGACATATCGCATACAGTTTAAATTAATTACAGTATTCAAGCCAATGTTTCTACCTGTGTCTATTATTCTTTTAGGACTCAACCTGGTCGAGAGTTATCCCTATGAGACAGTGCAAAGGGACTACGACTACGTCCGCTTGGCCTCTATTACAGCTGGCAAGTTCACCGACCTTCATTAACTTTCACCTTATTTTATACCATTTTACCCTTTGAAGATGTTTTGTTCTCACACAAACACATAACTCGACTGAATTTTTCCTGGAAGCATGCCCAAGGCAAATAGAGGTCCCTTCTGTTCTTCAGACACAGTTACACAAGTATTACCATTCATCTGAACACAAATTCCAGCATCCAAAAATTATATCTTTGACTTCAAGTTGTTGGATGGCAACCTTGTTCATTTGCCAAACTCAGTTGAAACAACATAATCCATGACTGTCAATGAATACTAATCCAGGCATTGTTTCCTATAGCCTCAGACTTGTATAACAATGCAATCTCATAGAATTGATTAAACCCAAATTCTGAAAAGCAGATTACATGTTGTGGATGTAACATTTAGAAATGCAGTGTTAAATGACAACAATGTGAACTAAATATTAGGGCTATCCCTGACTAAAAAGATTTCCCTAGTCCACTAGTAGTAGTTACTTCAAGCCACTAGTCCACTAGTTGCCAAACAATTATGATATTAATTTGATTATTAATATTATTTATATATTTATTTTAACAGCTACCTGTTAAATGATAACAGTTAGTACAGTTACCACATGCAACAGTGCACCGGTAAGAGACTTCCCGTCTTACATAAAACAACACTAGTTGAGGTGAAAATTAGGATAAGGCAAAAAAAAGATAATAGAAATAAAAAACATGACCCGACCAGAACGTTTCTTTGCCTGAGTTTCAGCTCAGAGTCAAAGGCATATGTAGGTTGAATATCCATCTACCAATCAGACCAGAACACCTGTCAGTAAAAACTATACACACACTGCAGAAAACCGATGACTCATCTCTGAAACACACTGCTCAAAGAGGTCAGCTGGTTGCTCATTTCCCAGGCAACATGTACACAAAAGGTTCATTCAGTAGCAGAGAACCAGGGTTCACTCTCACACCAATCATGACCATTCAGACATTCGGGCCTGCATTATTCACTGATGCAGTAAAGAACAGGAAGTTGCCTTGATGCCTTTTGTTTCAGATCACATAACACTAGCATGACTCTAATTTAGACACTTAGTTTCAGAAGTTAATTGGATAGCAAATATTTGATGCATTTTCAGAATCTTAAATAAATCAGCATTTCTATAACTTTCTCATACTGTCTGTATTGCACTGCATTGAATTAACTCAGCTAGTGACAGTTGTCAGTAACGTTAATGTACAATTTTATCATTAGGGCACACAAACCCTGTGACATTAAATGCATAGCCCAAATAATTGATGACTGGTGACACAAGCCACAGCACACATTTAAGCCTAATGGCCTTTGTAACAGGGCTTTTAGACTGCTATCACATTGAAACTTCCTTTATATTATAATCTTATTTTTAAGTTTTGACAAAAGCAGATTGACAATCTTTGCACTATTTCACATAATACATAAGGCTGGACACTTATAGTAACCATAAAATAATTAATGGAAGAATAGGCCACAGTACCTAGAGGTCGACTGATTTTTTAAAGACTGAACAATAGTTTGGATTAATAATTCCCTGATATAACCCCTGACATGCAAAACTTTGATGTATGTCATCATGAGGCAAATATTAATCAGCCAAACCTATAATTGTGACGCAGATAGATTTGAAAAATGGCACACAATTAACAGTTGAAATTAAAAGCCTGGTAATGCAATATTGTAGATATTATGATGAGAAATTGTTCCCTTTTTAAACCATAAGAAAAGACTCCTCATTTAATTATTCTGGTTCTCAGGAAGTGAGCCTCCATCTTTTATTTACAGACAGTTTCACCTTGAAGCTGAACTTTATTTGCAAACTACCTATCTCAACTTTTAAACCTCTAACAAGACTAACAAGATTACATCTCAGTGTGTTGAACAAATAAACAAAGTACACACCACCGGTCACATACGCTTTTATTCATATGAACACAAAACCTTTTTGCTCTGCTGTATTATTCTTCCACTGATATCTACGCTTGTGTTTGACCTTACTTCTATCCACAGACTCTGATGTTGGCATGACAACTGTGAATCGCTGCCTGGATGCAGCCAAGGCTTGCAATGTGGACGACCTGTGCCAGAAACTCCGCACTGAATATGTCTCAGCTTGTATCAAACCCACTGCCAAGTCAGGCCTGTGCAACCAGCCTAAATGCAATAAGGCTCTGCGCAGGTTCTTTGACCGTGTCCCCGCCGACTACACACACGAACTGCTATTCTGCCCATGTACAGACACAGCTTGCGCAGAGCGTCGAAGGCAGACTATTGTACCCAGTTGCTCTTATGAAAGCGTGGAAAAACCCAACTGCATTACACAGATGAGGATCTGCAAAGCTGACTACGTGTGCAGGTCAGAATGGAGACGTGGAAGCTTTTAATTGGTCTTTCTTTCATGTCTGTAACATATATTAAAGTTATTTCTCACGTAGCCATGGTCTCATATGGATACAATAACATACTGCTATAATATGATCATAATCCCCGGTTTGGTTTTCCTTAATGATCCCCCTCCTTTTTCAAGGTATACCTAAAATCAACAAAGCCAATGTTTCATTATTCCCAGTTTATTCAAGCTTTCCACAGATACAAATTTTGGATATACTCACCATACATATTTTGGCCAGTGCTGTTCAGTATTATGGCTCTTTAAAACCAAATAAACAGCCATTCAATCAACAAAATGGCCCGCTGTTTTACCCTAAAGCTTTCTACCACCATTGGTTAGAACACCCAAGAGAGCCTGTTGGAATAACACATTAAATATTTAGCACAGATAAAGAGCCAGATGGATCAGAGTTATCGCTCATTGCTATCTCTGGTCATGGCCATTATTTTTCACAGCCCCATTACACTCAGAGGGCTTTACTAATGATCCCAGGTCTGGGGGATGAAATATATTACTCTTTCTATCACTTTCACATTACAGTCCAATGCTTTCAGTCTTCACCACAGCCAACAATATTTCTTTATGTCAGAGGGGCAAACTCTTAATTAAATGACCAAGTTATAGTAGAAAAGCTATATAAAAAAGAACCAGCAAACTTTTTACATAAAACAATACAGGGATCTATCATGTTCTTGCTAACCAGTGTCGGTTGTTTCTGTAGGTCTCGCCTGGCACAGTTTCAGTATGACTGTGAACACTCCGAAACGTCTGCCAATGGCTGCAAGCAAGGGAACTATGGAGCCTGTCTCCTCGCCTACACAGGGCTCATAGGTAGGTGCACACCTGAAAGGTAAGACACAGAGAGAAAACACATAAAGTAGTAGGAAAAAATAAGTGAAATGAGCAGGTGGAGGAGGGGAAAAGATATGAAAGAAAGAAAGAAGATATATGCCATATGCCGTGTCAGGGAAGGAAAGAGAAAATTATGCTGCTACAAAGTGGCAGGAATGAGTGAGAGCTCGCTAGAGGGTAAATTAATACATTCGGAACAGGTTAAGAGTGAGTGGGAGAATGAAATGTAACTTCTAATTCTAAAACAAAAGACAAAAGTTCAACATGGTATAAGATACGAAAGCATAAAAATCTCTCATTACAGAAAAACAGAGACACAATATTTAATTTGTTTTATAATAGTCCGTAAAAGAAAAAGAACAGCCACTTCTTCTCCACACACTGGTGAGTGGACCTAATGCATTTCAAGAACCTCAAATGGTGCCCCTCAGCACAAACACACACTTGGCATTTTCATTCCTGTCTTGTATTTATTAAAGCACTTGAAATCCTACCTCCACTATGTTGGAGAAAAAAAACAGCCAGAAAAAAAGAAATCTCAATGCCAGAGACTTCTGTGACCTAAAAAAGAGAAAATTGGAGTATTTCTCAAACGAGTCTGTGCATAGCCAGTCTAACCAACATTATCAGCCGAGTGCATCACGTCAGCATATAGGTAGGAAGTGCATTGTCCATTAATGTTTCACATAATAAAGCACAGTGAATACAATGTAACAACTTACAGGAGAATAAATATTTAATACTGATTGAGGCCTGTTTGCGGCCTCTCTGCAGGAAGTACAATAACTCCCAACTATGTCGACAACTCCACGTCCAGCGTGGCTCCGTGGTGCTCCTGCTCGGCCAGCGGGAGCCAGAGAGAGGAGTGTGATATCTTCCTGGGATACTTCACTGATAACATCTGTCTCCGTGAGTTTCAATCTATCAACAATGTCCTGGAATGTGCTCACTCAGATATTTGGGGTAGGGGTTGTGTTTGTATAAAGGTGTTGGGGGGTAAAAAAAATAGACTGCTATTTCAGTGTCCTGTTTAACTGGTGTCGTGCAATTTTAAAGAAAGAGCTGATATGTTGTTTTTTTTTTTTTTTTTTTTACAAGCATCTTTGTGCTGGGTTTTTTCCAGGATGTTATTTAGGTCTGTTTCTGGTCATGACTCAGTCACTGAGTGTCTTTACCGGAAAACTAGGCCAACAGCAGCGAGATACTAAATGTTTCTATTTAGCTCCAGGGACAAAGTCTCATCCGACTGCAACAATAAACAGTCTGTCTAAGATTAGAATTTCACAAATGTATTATTTGACAGTTTTCTTGCCTGTTTTATAACAATTATATTTTCCAATTTAAGCATCAAATACAAGTTGCATGTATGTTGTACACCCTTAAAGCTTAGTAGTAATAGTTTCATATAATGCTGGTACACCCGAAGTCACTTCATTATTAAAAGAAATCCAAAAACGGTGTTCCCTATAGGGATGAGAATTGATTAGATTCTATTTATTGATACCAGTGCTGTTATCGATCCTGCACATGGGTCAGATTCTATATCGATTCCCTTACTGATTCCTGATCAATTTTCTGTGGTGAAAAAAAAGTAGGCCCACGCAAGTTTTCAGTGTCAGTGTTTTGTTATCTCTGAGTCTTTCTGCATCTATAATGTATGAAACGAGAAAATATTTCTACAGCATTTGTTTTAATTTAGGTTTTCTTATAGAAAAAAATCTGCTAAGCTTGCAGATTTGAATAATATAGAATAGGATATTTACTATCAGTAATGGATGTGCTGCTCAGTTGGGAAGCAGAGACACTCGTGCGTAGAGTGTTAAATACATCTCATTCCTGGAATTGGAGTGCGTAGAAACAGTTTCAGCATATTGCTGGTGTTTCCACCATTAGTTGAAATGATCATTTTACACACATTTGAACTATCACTTTTTTCATCTTTCTTCGTGAAATGAAGCCGCGCTTTGGATCGTTTCTTCCTCTCCGCCATGACTCCATGTTGCAAGTTTGCAGCAGCGTAGACACATATGTTTGATTTCATTGTTTTGCAATGCAAAACTGTCAGAAAAACATGTTGGCAGGTATAGGATTCGGAGGTATATGATTCTGATGGATTGGAAAATTTGGAACTGGCTCTCGTCTAGAACCAGTTCTCAATTCCCATCCCTAGTTCCCTAATCAGAACACTTTACACTGATAACCTGCAACAGGGGATGTTTAAGCAGACTTGATAGCATAATAAATAAGGTCTATGATATAAGAAAGTGACAAGACAGAGCTGTAGGGATTCAGTGAGACAGATGTTTCCCAGCATGCTCAAACAGCAGCAAGCGATGTATTAAAATCAGATATCCTCTGCTTTTAGTATGCTCCCTCTCTCTCCATCTCTCTATCTCAGTGTGTTTCTCTGTTGCTCTCTCTCCCGTTTATTCACTCACTTCATTTTCTCTAGTTATTAATCATCCCCTTCATGCTGTTTCCTTGGTAATTCCGCCTGGGTGTTCAGACAGTCACTTCTTAGTGAATTATAAGTAAGCTGGCCCTGTGATTGTTAGGTAATTGTATATTTATTAAATGTCCTCCAAACACCTAATGTACTTTTTTCTTAACAACTGATGATAAAAAACTTGGCAACTAGTAAGAACTTTCTTCAGAAAACTGCTGATTATTTTAACCCTTAAGGTGCCTGTTTATTTTGACAAACATTCTTTCATACTTCAGCTCTTTAGTGACCTGTTACTGATGTAACACAGATTAAGCTACTAATTAATATAATATTACTTGTTTTTTTTTTATAAAGAATTAATAACATTGAACATTGAAATTAGTAAATTATCTTGATGGCATGGTGACACTTGATGAAATGTCAGGGGATCACTTAAGCCATAACAAAGCACGCCATGGGGCAAGCATGAATGTCTGAATTGAATTTCAAAATTTTGTTTATCCACCGAACACTTGTTAAAACATTTCACTCAAAACCATAAATGTTACACCCATGGTAGGACTAGAGGAAAAGTCAAGAGATCAAAAACAAAATTTCATACTAAGTCCTCTAGTATCCAGCCGTTTTTTGAGATATTTCAGTCTGGTTCAAAGTGACCAACTAACAGACCGACATTGCCATCCATATTGTCACACCAATAACGTGACTAGAAGTACAACAACGTGGCCATAATTGAATACAATGAGTTAACAAAACAGGGTGAAAAATGTTTTCCAGTTCTGTAAAGCACTGATGTAAATGTAATGCTTGACTTTCAAACATATCCAAATATTCAATTGTTACAGCCACTAAGAACATGAAAATCATACAAAAATTCAAACATGTTCAACACTGCATGTGAGGATTACAGTATGAATGATGGACAATTTAGGGACTGTAGAAATACATTATATTGTATAATAATGGAAGCAATAACATGGATTAAAGGTGAGCACATAAGATCACTTCATAATAGGGTGCTACATGGGTGTCTTGTAATTTATTGTCTTCTGTTTTTTCTGTCGTGTTTCCTAATGCTAATTCTCATCCTAACATCCTCTTTCTGTTTCTCTTATGACCTTTGCTCTGGAGTGTGAATAATTAATGGTCCTTATTACTGACCTCAGAGAGTCTATCATTGAACCTGTCCACACAAAGAGTATCTTTGCTCTGTGTGTGCGGCGAGGTGAATCTTTGGCCAGTCTTTCCTCGGGCCCCCTGCCTAGGAAAGATACAGAGAGAGGTCTCAGAGTTGTTTGGCCAGTGCAAATGGTCTATGAGTTAATGAGGTCGATGTGGAGAGGCAGGTGCAGTTTGGATACTTGAAGAGAATACTGAGTATTTTCTGTTTTCTCTTTTTCTCTCTCTCTCTCGCCTCAGCTGACCAAATCCAAACCAGCTCTGGCACTGCGAAAGCTCTCATACGAAATTTACAATTCATCACCGGAGGCATCGGCCCTAATTGAATAAAACACAAGTGGAACTTGATGAAAACATATAAACACGATCGCGAAAAGTCTGATAACAGTTTTTTTCCCACTGCTGTGCCTCATGTTTCAGAGAATGCTCTCATGACGTTTGGAAGTGAATCAGACCAGCAGCCGACTCTCAGCCAGTCCAGTACACCCAGCCCCAGCCACAGCAGCAGAGAAAACAGGAGCACCACTTCTCCACCAGAAACCATAGAAACTATGAGGAACATTCTGGATACAATAATACCAACACAGGTGTGTAGTTTTATTGTCATGGTTAGTGTTCAGCAGCAAACTATCTCTAACACATGCCACAACTTGCAATTCTCAAATTTTAAAGTCACTATGTACTGTGGATTTTTTAAATAGTTTATTTCAAACTATTTTGATGGAATTCACTGATGTTTGTAAAATGATGAGGCAATCCTAGTGTAGACTAGTGCAGTCTATGTTTTTGTCTTAGGATTTTTCAGTCCTTCATTCTCATGGGGGGGATGATACTACCTCTGCATATACATTTTCAAATTCTGCACATAGCATTAATTATTCTACTTTTCCTTCTGTGTCAAGTTAAGCAGATTATAATGATTTTCAGGCTATCCATGGAAATTTGAATGTAGCATTTGGCAGGACCAGTAATGCTGACATCAGACTACATGATATCATCCAATTAACAGCTTGACCCAAATGACAATCTAATGTAACGTCCTAACAAAAAGATAAGCCTGTCCAAATGTTCTGCTTTCTCTTGCCTTGTTTGACAACTTCTGTGATGTGTTCCATGACGTCAGCTCATTGGATCACATAATGTTTTCCGTGCACAACTGTAATGTGCCAAGTCAAATGTGGAAAGATGTTTTATTCCCTTTCAGGAAACCTGTACCAATTTGATTATAACCTCCAGCTTAGGAGCCTTATTCCAAATTAATTATACCTGTGGGTGCAACATTGACTTATGTCCACATATGGATGCTGCACACCCAACAAAAAAGACAGAGCCCATCTTCATTGCCATGTGACGATAAATGGTTCACTTTCATGAAAATGTAATTATATACTAAATATTACAATGATTTACCAAGGTCTAATGTGCAGTTAGCCATGTTTCTCACGCAAGACATGGCAAGTATTTATGACTCTATGTTCATCTAATCTCATCCCATCTCATAAAGCAAAAACATGATGAAGTCTGGAGGTCTTGTGACTGCATTTCAGAATTCAAGTGGCCTTCACCTTAGCCTAGCCCCAGTCCTTGCTTTTACCCCATTTTTAATCTTGACCTTCATTTCTAAAATGAACTCAGAGACAGATTATCACCAGCCTGCTTTTACGTGATGAATAATGATGATCACCTGAAAATCAAGGGTTTGTTTGTATACACACTACAGTTTTAGAAGATCATCAGCATCTAAAAAAAGAGATAAACTGATCTCGCTTTCTCCTCCTAGGCCCTGGGAAATGAACTACTAGTGGGCCAGTCCACTCTGCCATCCAATAGCCTCCCAATTTCTGCTCCACCTCCCAGCCTAATGCTTCAAGCTGCCTTTGGCCTTCTGTTGTTGCTCCTTCATCTGCTCAACAATGGACACTAAAGGCTGCAGGGGTGCGTGCTGAGGACCCTCCTAGTACCAAACAGATGGGAGGACCAGTGCAGTTCAGAGAAAATGGACCACGTGGCATTATTTCACCCTCTAAATATGTACAGCGATTCTGTTTTTCTATTTTAGTGTCTACGTGGTCCAGTTCCACCTGCCAGTGTTCTCTCTCTGGGAGTGTGGGAGACTTCTGCAGACCGAAGCCAGTCTGTACATTTGTACATTGTCGTTGCGATCAAATCAAGCCGAAATGAAGTCAGAGTACCGCATTTGTGGACTAACCCAGCTCTCACCTATCCAACTGTATCCATTTTCAAGAGTTATTATGAAAATATAATGCAAATATGTATGATACAAAGACATGAAGTATGTCAGTACCTGTGAAGATTTGTATTATCAACAGAAGCTCTTATTTTGACATATTGTAAGGGAAAGTGGTTGGAGTGAACCAGTGAACATTGTGTCTGCTCTGTACTCAGCCCAAACGTGATGGAGTATGAGGGGCTTTTATACCACTCTCCTCCTGTGACTGAAAGAGGACCATTATTTCTGACCAATACTGGAATAGTGGAGAGACAGAGAGACAATAGAGCTACATTTTGCTCATACATCCTGGACAAATGCCCTGATTCTTGTATGTCCAGCAGCACAATCTAGAAGAGATGTGGGAAACCAGAGTACATAAGATAAACCTTGATATAATAATAGTTCTCTTCATCAAGACAGTAGCTCTTTGTCAAACTCTCTCTCACCAATTTATTTGTGATTGCTGAAGCTACAGTAGCTGTTCATAGAAAACAGAAAAGTCATGGGTCTTTATCAGCAACAGCAAATTCCTGGAAAAGAAAGGAAATAATCAGAAAAGCAGTACATTTTTACCTGCAGCTGCTGTAGTATGTGTTTGTGAGCGTAATATCCTTTCGTTTCTAATTGTGTATATGAACATTGCTATACAGGGCTCTGCGTTGTGCCAGAGAGGGAAGTGAAAGCTTTGACTTATGGAGCGTTGCCAACACCAGTAAGGAGCCTCTATGAGATTAGACAGTTATGAATGATTCAGTATTTTCTGTTCTGGTAATATGCCAGTGAATTCTGAATAGGACCAGAGGTGCTGCGAATAAAAGTTCTCAGATCATTATGTTTACACATTAGCATCATTCAACCTTTTTTTTGTTAATGAAAAACACTTTATTTGGTGCGGTTGAAGTGAACTTTCTCAGTTAAGTCTTCTAGGAGACACAACTAGCAGCACAACTGAATACATGTTTATCTAAACTAATACTCACACCACTTCCATGTGTACTCTGGAGTGCATTATTTGAAGTGAGAATATAACAGGATTTACAGCCTAATCCAACCATTTGTGACCTAAGATCTTTCAGACTGATCTGTCTCAGTAAAAGCTCACCAGCTGCTTCACTTCAGAGCTACTTTACTACAACGTGCTTTTCTGGATGAATACAAATAGGGCCAGAACAAAAACTTAACCTTAAAGCCTCCCAGCATACTAACTTATAAGATCTGTATGTTTTAAAATTTTATAGATCCATTATCTGACAACTTTAACTATTTTTAGGACTGCTTTACTGTGCAGCACATCAGACAGGAAGGGGCAGCTAGCTGCCAAAGACTACACAATAACATACTGGAATCAATGGCCAGAAGTATAATAGCATGGTGAATGTGAAATTAAAGTGCTTCCTGTTTCAGACAGGCTTAATGGAGTAAACATGTCTATGGTAAAGAAACTGGCAAGAGTTTGCCCAGAATCCAGTGTAATTTCAAAAAGAGGGAGATGAAAATAGCAGTTATACTCAAAGGGAAAAGTGCTTTCTGCTGACAATCACCCGTAACCCTCTACTGTTTCACTGTTTATATTTTGCCTTTAGTAAACAAACAATTAACATTACTCAAGTCACAACAGTGTGAATAATTAACCCCCAACTGTGACAGAATGATGTAATTATCATGACTGAGTGTAAGGTGACAAGAGGAAAAAACCGCAATGGAACCAATGAAAAACTGTTTCAATTTAAAACCCAATTCAAAAGAATCCCATATACGACACTTCAAAACTCAACTGTGATTATGGTTTTGGCTTTTTTACTTTTTTCTTTTACTTTGAAAAGCTTTTTGGTACTTTTGCTGTTCATTTTATGTAAATGTAAATATTTGGAAATACAAAATATACTATGTTATCAGTTATTAACGATTACAAAGGGGTAATTTTAAGACTATGTTTATTTTTGGAAGTGGCAAAAACACATACATGTTCTCATGTTGTTACCAAATGTAAGAAAATGTAATGAAATGAACAAAAACTGGAATTATTCTTTAAAGTGACAACAAATACACTACTCCAAAAACTGCTGGTTTGGTTAACTTCATTATGAATGTGGTGTAGAGGTCAATCCAGTGAAGATTGAAGATTACTGACTGCTCAGTAAGGCTTTTTATACAATACTAGTATAGAAAAAGAGGTCTCTTTCAATACCAAAGCAAAACCTGCAACCTGCACACAGTGCTGGTAGATACAAAGTCAGTGAACACACATTGAGGACCAGTTACTTTCCAAAGAATGTATACGTTACCCTATTTCTAGAAGGTTATTTCTTTTGTCACCAAGGCTGTACAGGGAAATCAATATGTTTTATAAAGTCACCCAAAAAATACAACTAGTGTTTTGGATTTGTTTCACATTATTCCATTTTCAGAACCTGTCAAGCGAATCCCAACTAACGAAACCAATGTATTACCGATTGACTGTTTTACAGTGTTATAAGAAAGCATCCAATATGAATAAGAGTGTACAGCCATACTAAAAGCTCTGTGAGGCTGTGTCATATCTAGAATCAAAGCTAACGTCAGCATGCTAACATGCTCACAATGACATGTTGATGATTAGCATGTTTACTGTGTTCAGCAACTTAGTTAAGTATTGGACAAATTACAATTTTGACCTGATGTTGACGTTGTATGCTGAGTTAAGGTGTATCCAGTTATTACAATTCGTCCTTAGGGGAACATGATTTTCTGTTATTCATAGAGCCACGCTGCTAATGTGGCTAAAAAGCAACTAAATTGCCTTTGTGAACACTGCTACAAAAGGTCAGCAATATTACACACCAACTGTGACAGCTTTTATCACACTATATAAACCTCCCGTATGCCTGTTGGTTATTTTCAGTGTTCCTCTTTGGTGATGTACAGCAGTTTGTCTGTTTTTGGCATATGTTTAATGAATTTTAAGTATTCACTTTGACACACTTATTAAATTGATATACTTGCAGTTTGGGTTCACACAATTCCCTGTTTTGTCTCATGTTTTGAAAACTCACACCAATTTCCAGATTGCCTCACATTTTCTATAACAAATTTAAATTGGCTACATTTCACATAATCCACCTAGAGCTGCAACAATTGATCATTTTCCAATGACTCATTTAGTCTATTTAGTTTAAGTGTACAAAATAGTACCGCTAATTGCTTGCTTTGTCCGAACTCTGTCCAATTTAACATAAATAAAATAAAACACCAAATTTATCAATTGTCAAAATTGCTCAGATTAGATTCATTTTCTGTCAGTAGAGTAATGCCGTATTTTTGTAGGCCAACCCGGTGTTAACCACAGATATAATTGCAGGCACCTAACTAAAAACCCATTCAAAGAAAACATTGACTTCGAGGTGAGATGCTACCTCATTATGGGTTTGAGGACGTATTCCTGGAGACACTGGAGCTGTAAAACCACCTTTGTAGCAGTGTTTGTAACTGAATGAGTAATTTACATCACAGTGCAAGGCCCTTTCCATGTTATGGTGATATTTTGACAATACTTTTTTTTTATCTTACTGTATGGTGTGTCTCACTGTTAATAATGAACCCAATTTTTAAATAGACAGCACTTTTCAGTAAAGGCACAGAAAGAAACACAGGAGAAGACTGTAAGTTATCAAGCTCTGCTCAGAGGAATTAACCAGGTGAATCAGGTTTGTCTGGGCTCAGAGTTATGACTCTAGAAGAGAGTCCTGACTCAGCATGGGAAAAGGTGGCAAATAGGTCTATAAATATCTCTATCAAAAGTAAGTGAAGAATGCAACACTTTGTTTGAACCGTGGTGATATCACTCCATGGGCACTGACGCTGAAATCAGCCGGAGCAGTGACTTCCAAAATGCAGCACCACAGGGAGGAACACTTGCTCATCATACTACAAGTGTAGATGAGAAACAATCTGCTGTGATGAATCTGAATGCTCAGAATATGATCTGCTCAGCTGACCAGACTCATCACTCCATGAGTGATGCATTTTTATTTTCAGTGTGCAGCGTTCTGGAAAAAACAAACGTAGTTTAGAATCACCTCTTATCTCTGATGACCCATGATTCAATTTGTCAAACTGGAGGTTCACTCCCTTAACATTTTGTCACTCCAATTATAAGCACGGTATGTATGAAGATTTAAAAAAAAATCCCCCAAAGAAAACTTCATGGAGCTCAACAAGAAAGAAATTGATGTAAACATTCATGTTCGATGAAGGTCAAATTCAAAATTTAATTCATTGCACAACACCATGTCCAGTTTTCATGAATTTGTCACATCTCATCTTTGTTAACAATGGCCCTTTATGTATGTGTATGTGTAGTACAGCTTGTTGGCGGTTGATTACACCCTGAATCACAAAACAGGTACTATTTGCATTTTATACATTTAAATATGTTTGTGTAACTAGACACAAAGAGTAAACAGAATATCTTATAAATGAGTGAATGAGGTAGCATATTTGAAAATAAATAATTTAACTTATATTTAAAATGGATGTGAATGTTAATGAACAGACAGTTTGACAGTCCCGATACAAACACAGTTCTGGACTTTGAGACCAGAGACCAAGACTTGTGTCCTGCCTTGTTTTCGGTTAGATGGTAATAGAGTAAACACATTCTGTCTTGGCAAGAGCTTGATCTTCTCCTAACATTAAGAGCTTTGCATTGCCTAAACATAAAGTAAAGACATAAAGTAATGTGGGAAAACCAAAATGCATTATTGAACGTTAGATTTATTCAGTACAAAAATGTGTGACTTTCTGGACACTAATGACTGTCGATACAAATATTATAATATAGATAGTATTAGAATATAGATAAATAGATAATATGGATAAAAGGGTAATCTAAGTTGTGACATTTCTCTCAAAACATGTTTTCTGTTGCAAATAACATTACATAAATGTATTTTCTAATGTATTTTTTTGTATTTTTTAGGAAATAGATTTGCTTGTTCTTGGATGCCAAAATGTGATAATAAACCTAATCTTAAGTGTGTGTTTCAGCAAAAAACTACTATGCATCCACAGCTCAAGCAGGAGTTCTTTAAGTTATGACTAAACTATTGCAGTGTTTTAACAGAAGGTAGTTTATGAGTCAGGTTGTTGTGTAATCAAATACAGTTTTCAGGGTAAAAAACATAACAGCAGATTTTATACTCATATAGTTGGGAAGAAACTTCCCTTTGACATTTAAAGTAAAAATAATAGTAGCCTTAAAGATGCCAAATATGAAATGCCCATTTTTGACAGATATTGTTGGGATGATGCAGTCGTTGCCAACACAAATACTGTAAAACTAAGAATACTATTTCAGAAATGTCTGATTATGACAAAGTTGATAATAAGAAATACATTCAGAAAAGAGCTGAATGAATAAACTGTGTTACAGAACTTAAGACATTTTAGAGGCAGTATTTGTATCCACTCACAAATAATTACTTTTTTCTTTTAAACATTAATAAGAAAAGTAGACAATATTCAAGTGATTGTTTGCTAATTAATTGTCACTTTATCAACTAGGAATCAAATTTAATATTTGCTGCTAACAGTGCTGCTCAATTAATGAAAAACATCATGAGTTTCAACATTCAGTCATTTTGTAGTGAAAATGAAAATTGTTATGCAAAAATCATCCCCACTAATCGTGACTCACATCACAATCGAAATATCTGTCACAGTAATAATAATATGATGTTTTTATCATATTGTGCAGCCCTATTATGTAAGACAGCAATTGCATGCATTTATGCATCTCCGTCCTGAACTTACATTTACTGATCACTGTGAGACGTTTTCAGAACTCTGCATGTATATACAGTATCTTCGGCTGACTGTTTATAACTGAAGCATCATGTTTTCATCCACTGGGTGCAGATTTGTAAACTCCACCACTCAGTGGGTATCTATGATGCTTGTATGGATTGATAGAGCAAGGTGTGAGATTTCAAATATTCATGACAACAACCTGTGCTGGCTTTGATGGGCATCCTAGAGCACTGTTTCAGATTCATGATTTAGTGTTTAGGTTAGTCTATTACCTTGCTTGGGGTCAAACAACTAATGTAGTTTTGAAACAAAGATGGCTCACTGCTTGTTTAGGTTATCAGCACCAGGTAAAATATCCTGCCACAAACACAAAACAACAAGAAATAAGGGGCTTCTTTCTTTGCTTCATTATCTTCTAATATTCCTATTATTATTCTATAACTTTCATGCGCAAAGGACTGGATTAATTCACCACCATCGCCTTCACCTCTCCATTCACTGTAGTTTGGTGGCTTTGAATCCAACACTGATCAATAGCAACAATCAAATGTTGCTCTAGGGTGTTGAAACCTCTTGCCCTTTACCACTGGATCATTTTACCTGCAACATATCAACACACTTTCACTACTCGTATTTCCAGATTCTATGCAGCTCTTTTGTTTTTTCAGTGTTTTGTGTTTGCAAGGAAGAATTGAAATTGATTCCTCCCACTAATTGCTGTAAACACTGCAACAAAGTACAGCCAGGGCTTGTGACATCTGTCAACTTAATTTCCCTCTCCAACATAATGACTTGTTAGTTGCTGCAACATGATTTCACTTCCAATGATAAGCATGATTAAAACTCACCGCAATCACAAACAAAACCTATTAAATATTCACTCTTAGAGTACTGTATGAGCTGTAAATCAAAAATGTCCTCGGGAAATGAGTAATGATAATTATTAAATGTCAGAGCGACAGGAGGGTTTGAACCGATCACTCCATGTGTTCTGCTGAAAGCAAAACAAATTAATGTTGTTGCAAGATCTCTTATTAGAATGTCAATTTTAATAGTTTTTATGGAGAGGATTGGGACATTTTCCAGAAAAATTAAAATACAGCATGACTGAATCTGTTTGGAGACACATATCTACTTCAGCATATTCTAGCATAGCAGTATATTCAGTCTGTTAAGAATGAAGCAAACAGAATGAAATGAATTTGAATTGACAATGTTTGCTATAATAAGCAAAAAAAACATGCAGCAGGTTACAACTGTTTAAAAAAAAAAAAACTGTGTGTGTGTAATGACATAATTGTGTCTGCATACTATGCCTGTCTTGGAGCCTGTAATCCCCAGAAAGGGGGTTGTTGTTTACTCAGTATGGTTTTTAATCAGTTTAATTCAGTACTAATAATCTGTCTGAAGGGCATCACTGTGTTTCCCCTGCAAGAGTCAGAGCCTGCTGCTGTCCGGTCCTTACAGCGAGGCAATGCAAAGTCATTATTACAGTGTGATATTTATTGGTTTAAACCTAGGCCGCAGAAATTGTGCTTTGTATGTTTTGTGTAAAGTAGACTTCTCTTGGGGTAATGTGTAATTATGACTGGAGATTTTGTCTTATTTGATATAATCATAAAACTCCTTGCCTTGCTCCCCTTGTTCCATCAATGGATTTCTCTATTTGTACATGTGCGGTTGCGCATATTTGGCGAACAAAACTGTGTGCCTTCCAATCTTCTTCGCCTTCTGACAAGTGTCTCTATGAGTTGAAAATAGTGTTGTGTATTTTGTTGCAGATATACTCCTCCAGATGTACGAGTATGTTCACGTTTGTCGGCTCACATCTGTTTGTATGCAAGTCTGTGTGTTCATGCGTGTGTGTGAAGCATGTAGGCGTATGTCTGCAGACATCTGTTTTTGTGTCTGTAATCTGTGTGTGTCCATGCATATCTGTGTCTTTGTGTGCTTGCATGAACGCACAGGGACAAATTCGTCTTGTAAAGGTGATTTTATTTTATTTTTTTACTTCTCATCCTATGGTTTGTTTTCTCACAGGAAGAAGACTCTGTGTACCTACAGTAATGTACATGTGTGCATGAGTTTATAGGTGTACACTTGTATGTAAGAATCTGAAGTCTCACTGTGTATGAATTTTTGTTACAGTTGCAGCTGCCTTAATGTCCC